CGCGACGGCCGGGCCGACGGCGTCTCCTCCCCGTCGTCGTCCATTGTTGCCGCCCGCGTTTCCGCGCCCACAGTTGTTGACGATTGGCTGCCCGGGGTGCAGTTTCGCGATGCCTTCACTTCAGCTCCGGTGAACGACGACCTTCACCACGGCACCGTGCAGCCTCAAAAGCTCCGCATGGGCATCGTCATTGCGGGTCGAAACTAGCATCGTCATTGCGGCTCGTAACTAGTGCCATTCATGCGCATTATCATCGCGCTCGCTCTCATGGCGACGACGACGGACGCCCTCGTGGGCCTCGGCGTCGACCTCGGCACGTCCGGCGTGCGCGTCTGCGTCGTCGAGCGCGGCGCTCGGGGCGTGTCGATCCTCAGCGAGGGGGCGACGCGCTGGACCGACGACGAGGGCCGCGAGCCCGCCGTCTGGCTGCGCGCCCTGCGCGAGACCATCGCGAAATGCGACGACGCCGCCGTGGCGCGCGTCGGGCGCGTCGCCGTCTCCGGCACGTCCGCGTCGACGCTGCTCGTGGACGGCGCGACGGGCGCGGTGCGGCGGCCGCCGATGATGTACTCCGACGCCGTCGGCGGCGACGCCGGCGCCGCGGCGCTCGGCGCCATCGACGCGCACGCGCCGCCGGGCCACACGTGCCGCGGCGCGACGTCGGCCCTCGCGAAGCTCCTGGCCTGGGCCGCCGACGCGCCGCTGGGGGCACAGGACGTCGCGGCGCACCAGGCGGACTACGTGGCGGCGGCGCTCTGCGCGGGCGTCGACGGCGAACAACTCGCCGCGCCGCCGGCGCTGCGCAGCGACTGGCACAACGCTTTGAAGATGGGCTTCGACGTCGTGGAGCTGCGATGGCCCGCCTGGCTCCTCGAGGGCGCGATGCCCGCGGTCGGCGCGGCGCCGGCCGCCCTCGAGCGCCTCGGCGTCCTGCGCCCCGGCGTCGCCGACGAGCGGCGCGCGGTCTCCGAGGCGGCGGCGGCGCACTGGCGCCTGCCCGAGGGCGCGGCCGTCGTCGGCGGCACGACGGATTCCATCGCCGCGTTCCTCGCGTGCTCCTGCGACGCCGCGGCGGGCGTCGTCCGCGTCGAGCCCGGCCGCGCGGTCACGTCCCTCGGCTCGACGACGGCGCTCAAGCTCGTGAGCGACGTGAAAATCGACGACGCGGCGACGGGCGTCTACAGCCACCGCCTCGACCCGCGCGGAACTCGAATCTTCAACCCGACTTCAATGTGCGCCTATGCGACGGTCGTGATGCGAGCTTTTTCACCGTGCTTCGAGAACTCGACGAGAGCGATCGATTCGTCCAGAAATCAGCCGAATCGACGTCGAATCGACCGAGCGAGAGAGTTCCGAAGTTTGGTCGGGAGAACCCAGCTCACTGTTTGATTTCGGCACAGGCCTCGACGACGCGTGGCTCGTCGGCGGCGCGTCGAACGCGGGCTGCAAAGTCCTCCGCGACTTTGCCTTCGGCGACGACGAGCTCGCGGCGCTCTCCCTGACGCTCGACGCGGCGCGCACCAACGACGCGGGCATCTACCCGCTCTCCAAAACCGGCGAGCGCTTCCCGTTCAACGACGCCGCGAAGGAGCCGAAGCTGCCCGGCGGCGACGACCGCGAGGCCGTGCTCCACGACCTCCTCGTGGGCATCGCCGACGTCGAGCGCCTCGGCTACGCGGCGCTCGCGGACCGCGGCGCGACGCCGCTCCGGAGCGTGCAGACCGCGGGCGGCGGCGCGAAGAACCCGCAGTGGCGCGCGCTCCGCGAGGCCATGCTCGGCGTGCCCGTGGTCGGCGCGGAGAACACGGACGCGGCCTTCGGCGCGGCGCTGCTCGCGCTGCGCGAAGCGTAACGCGCCCGGGGAAGCGGCCGGCCCAGCTTACGCCTCCTGCCAGTCGAGGGCCTCCTTGGCGTACTTGTAGCCGAAGCCGCCGAGCGCGAGCGCGACGGGCGCCGCGCCCGCCTGCCAGGGCAGCCAGTCCGCGTAGGCGACGCCGCGCGCCATGAGCGTCGCCGCGAGCGGGATTGACGCGATGGCCAGCAATTCCGCGTTGACGATGGACGTCATCCGCTTGACGAGCGCCGGCGACGGCGGCGGGATGGACTCGCCCCGATCCGTCGCCTCCTTCTTCGCGATCGCGTGCTGCACGATCTTGATGGTCGGGAAGTAGGAGGCCGAGCCCATGATCGCGAAGAGCACCATCTTGCACCAGAAGATGGGCTCGTGCGCGTAAAAGTCCCAGCCCTTGCCGTACTGCGTGACACGTTCGTACCCCGAGACGAGCACGAGCACGCCGGCGACGCCGTAGGCGATGTCCGCGTTCGCGAGGCGGTCGAACTCGTCGTCGCTCATGTCCTCGTTGAGCGTGATGCGCTCCGTGACGAGAGCGCCGACGACGCCGATAAGGCCGGCGTAGTGCGCATACGCCGCCAGCGCGCTCGGCAGCGGCGCGGCCGAGGTCGCGGCGGCCGCGGGGGATGTCGTGGCGAGGGTGAGCGCGACTGCGACTGCGGATGCGCTTGCAGCACTGTGCCGTGCCTTGGTGGGCGCATGTGGGAATGCGGATGCAGCGCTTTGCCGCTGCGGCGCCTTGGTTGGCGCCTGTGGCGCTGTCGCAGGCCCAGGCGGTCCACACCGGCGTGTTTTCAACCGTGGTGCATGGCTGCGGCTTCGAGGCACGTTTAGCGCCGACGTAGCGGTAAGCACAATAGCATAGAGACAGGCACGCATTGTCGCGCCCATAATGCGAGCCAGAACGACAAGGTAGAGGGCAAGGACAGATAGTGAGGTCAAGGACGATCGAATCGGCGTTGGCGCGCCGTCCGCCGGTCGAGATCTCGCGCGCGCGCGAAGCGATTGGCTGGGCGGACGCGGAGCACCGCACGCGCACGGCGCACGGGAAGCCCGACTCTCCAAGCGGTGATGGTCGAATGTGTTGATGGCCTTGAGGGATCTCGGAGGCGAGATCCCTCGTTCGATTTACACATTGTTTGCCCTTGCAGACATCACGATGATGGGGCTCTCGGCCAATCGTCGACGCGCATCGCGCAGCTCATCTCGGCCAGCGCGTTGTCATGGCGCCCTTCGTCGTGGTGCGCGGCCTCGGCTGGCGGCGGCAGCGCGGTGCGATGGGCGCCCTCGGGGCTGCCCTCGAAGCCGCTGGGCTCCCGCGGGACCGAGCTTGTCTGCGTCGCCTCCGTGCCGACGAGGCCCTCGCTGAAAGCCGTCCGGACCTGCAGATCCTCGCGCGCGCCGCCGCTTTGCTCCACCGTGCGCCGCGGCGTCCACCATCGCGCGCGCACACACCCGTCGCATAATCTGCCGCGCGCGCCGCGCGGCGGGGTCGCGGGCGCCCCGAGAGTGTCCGACGATGTTCACCACCTGATCTCCTTGCAATCACAGGTCCTACTGGTCCGACTGCAGCACGACGTCGCGTCGCCCGAGTCGAGCGGCCTGATGCCGACGCCGACGCCACCGACGGAGCCGCCGACGCCGCCGCCGGACCCGCCGCCGCCGACGCCGCCGCCGCCGACGCCGCCGCCGCCGCCGCCGCCGCCGCCGCCGCCGCGGCCGCCGCGCCGCTGGGGCCGCTGGCTCGACCCTCCGATCCCGGAGAAGGTGGGCGTCGGGCTCGACGTCGACGACGACGAAGCGGCGCGGCTCGCCGCCTGCGAGGCCGACGAGTCGCAGACGGTGCCGGTGACCGCCGCGCTCAACGAGGACTCGCCCGGCGAGGCCTGCGACGGGGCGGCGAACTTCGCCGGCGGCCTGCAGGGCGTGCTCATGGCCGCCGTGCTCGGCTGCATCATCGGCGACATGGGCGAGTCCGTCAACGTCGCCACGAGCTCCGTCGCGGCCGTCATCCTCGCGGCGCGCATGGGCCGCACGGCCTGGCGCGAGGGCACCAACCGGCGCTCCCTGTCGATCCACGACAGCGAGGACGCCCAGAACCAGTCGATCTGGGACAGGCTCGAGTGGCTCGCGCCGCACGGCGTCGCCGGCGTCAAGGCCTTCACCGAGTTCGTGTTCCCCGCGGGGCCCAACAAGCACGTCCGCATGCACGTCAACGGCCCGACGCAGCAGGGCTACGTCGCCCTGGGCACGCACCTCGACGCCCACATGTGGGACTGGCTGAACTGCCAGATGCGCCTCGTCTTCGCGACGGCCACGGCGACGATCGTCTTCACCGTGATGGCCGTGGACGGCAACCTCGACCCGCTTTCCTCCAAAGTCTATGCCGCCTTCAAGCTCACGGTCCCCGCGGGCACGGCCTACCTGCTCGGCCCGCTCCTGGCGGGCCACAGGAACATCGGCTTCGTGTTGATCAACGGCAAGCGCTGCGCGCTGCGCGTTTTTCACACCGTCTTAGGGATTCGCGACTGGCGCTACGGGCTGATCCTATCGTGGTCGGTCACACCCGACGAGGTCGACGGCGAGGTGGCGCGCGTGCGCGCCCTCGCGGCGGAGCTCGTCGAGCTCGACGACGACGACCCGGATGTGCTCGCGGCGCTCGAGGACGAGGAGTCGGAGAACGCGCGCAAGGACATCCGGGCGGAATACGTCCGGTACCAGCTCCTGGAGCGCCGCAAGCGCGAGGCGCTGTACCGCGCGACGCACCGCGACGAGATCCGCGCGCGCAAGGCGCTGCACTACGCGACGCACCGCGACGAGATCCGCGCGTACCAGGCGCAGTACTGCGCGACGCACCGCGACGAGATCCGCGCGAGCCAGGCGCAGTACAAGGCGACGCCGAGCGGCCGGTGCGCTGTTTTGTCGAGCCAGCTCCGCGACAAGTACGGCACCGACGACGTCGCGGCGTTCTCCATCGCGGATCGCTGCCGCCTCGCGGCGGCGCTCCGCGCCGCGGCCGCGGCCGACGGCGTGCCCACGCTCGGCCCCGTCGCGGAGATCGCGGCGCTCGAGACCGCCATCTTCGTACCCCGCGATTTCGCGGGCAGCGTCCAGCAGTTCCAGGTGCCGCCGCCGTACTACGTCCGCTTCGATCCGACGTCCGACGTCGACGTCCGCTGCTGGGCCTGCGGCTACGAGATATGCCCGGTCGATCTCACGCAAAAGGGGACGCAGTGCTTCTCGTGCCCGCACTGCCTCGCGGCCGTGCTGCGTCCGAACTGCGCGACGCACCGCGACGAGATCCGCGCGAGCCAGGCGCAGTACAAGGCGACGCCGAGCGGCCGGTGCGCTGTTTTGTCGAGCCAGCTCCGCGACAAGTACGGCACCGACGACGTCGCGGCGTTCTCCATCGCGGATCGCTGCCGCCTCGCGGCGGCGCTCCGCGCCGCGGCCGCGGCCGACGGCGTGCCCACGCTCGGCCCCGTCGCGGAGATCGCGGCGCTCGAGACCGCCATCTTCGTACCCCGCGATTTCGCGGGCAGCGTCCAGCAGTTCCAGGTGCCGCCGCCGTACTACGTCCGCTTCGATCCGACGTCCGACGTCGACGTCCGCTGCTGGGCCTGCGGCTACGAGATATGCCCGGTCGATCTCACGCAAAAGGGGACGCAGTGCTTCTCGTGCCCGCACTGCCTCGCGGCCGTGCTGCGTCCGACTCGGAACCAGTGCCGCGTCTGCGGGAAGCGCTTCGATACCGCCCGCCAGCTTAGCGGGCACCTTTACAACCAGCACACCGCGCTCGAACGCGACGGCTACTAAGCATAATTGCCCTCGCGCCCGAGCAAAGAGAACAGTGACTGTGTATGTAACCGAGCCAAGAACCTCAACGACCCGTAGTTGAGGCGAATCGGCGACGCATGGCGCTCCGCGTGGCATTGCGAGCGGTGCGCGCCGCGCCGCGGCTCGCGCGTCGACCGTCTCTCTACGCTGCGCGCGCGTTCTCGACCAGCGAAGCAGAAGCGCCGGCGGCAGAAACTCCCAAACCCGACGCGCCGCCGCCGCCGTCCACAGAGGAGCACACGTTCCAGGCCGAGACGCGGAGTCTGCTCAACATCGTCAGCAACGCCCTGTACACGGAGCGCGAGGTCTTCCTGCGCGAGCTGCTGTCCAACGCGTCCGACGCCCTCGAGAAGTGCCGCCTGCGCCGCGTGAGCAACGAGCCGACGGCCGACGGCGACGACGAGCTCCACATCGCCGTGACCGTCGACAAGGAGCGCAAGACGCTGACCATCGAGGACAGCGGCATCGGCATGACGGCGTCGGAGCTCGGCACGAACCTCGGCACCATCGCCCTCAGCGGCTCGAAGAAGTTCGCGGCGGAGGCGTCGAAGAAGGGCGACGACGCGTCGTCGATCATCGGCCAGTTCGGCGTCGGCTTCTACAGCGCCTTCATGGTCGGCGACGCCGTCACCGTGGAGTCGCGGTCCGCGGACCCGGGCGCCGGGCCGGCCTACTGGCGCTCCGAGGACGGCGCGGAGACCTACGGCTTGGGCGACGGCGGGTCGAAGACGACGCGCGGCTCGAAGATCACGATCCAGCTCAAGGACGACGCCGCGGAGTACCTGGACTCCACCGCCTCAAGGAGGTCGTCCAGAAGTACAGCAATTTCGTCGCCTTCCCCATCAAGGTCGCCGGCGAGACCGCGAACGGCGTCGGCGCGGTCTGGGCGGCGGACCCGCGCGAGGTCACGGAGGACCAGTACGCCGAGTTCTACCGCCACACCTTCAAGGGCGCCTGGGACACGCCCTTCTTCCACCACCACTTCCGCGCCGAGGCGCCCCTGGACGTGAAGTGCGTCCTCTACGTGCCGTCGTTCCACGCGGAAAAGGGCGGCATGGCGCGCCTCGAGCCCGCGGTCGCGCTCTACTCGCGCAAGGTGCTCATCGAGGACCCCTGCGAGGCCGTCGCGCCGGACTGGATGCGCTTCGTCAAGGGCGTCGTCGATTCCGAGGATCTCCCGCTGTCGATCTCGCGCGAGAAGTCGCAGGACCGGCGGCTGCTCGACAAGCTCCAGGACGTCGTCGTGCGCAAGTTCCTGCGGTTCTTACTCGATAAGGCGAAGCAGGACCGGGCCAAGTACCTCGAGTTCTACGCGGAGTACGCGACGTTCCTCAAGGAGGGCGCGTGCCACGACCACGGCCGCCGCCAGGGCAGGACAAGAGAGCGAAATTCTCAACTTCAAAGGCTCCTTTCTCGGCCGTTTTCCACTCGTTTCGGCTGATTTTTGGACGAGCGATCATCTCTCGGAGCGGTCTCGACGCGTGGGCGCTTTTTCCGGAACGCGCGCGCGCGGAACACTCACGTTGAAGCGACGTTGAATCTCTCTTGTCCTGCCCAGGCCGCCGCGCGGATCTCGCCAAGCTCCTCTACTTCGACACGTCGTCGTCGGCGGAGCTCACGAGCTTGGACGAGTACGTCGGCCGCCTGCCCGGCGACGCCAAGGACGACGACGACAAGATCTACTACCTGCACGCGCCGACGCGGGAGCTCGCGCTGGCGTCGCCGTACTACGAGGCCTTCAAGGACTCGAAGCGCGAGTGCTTGTTCGTCTACAACGCGATCGACGACTTCGTCATGTCGAACCTGGGGACCCACAACGGCCGGCCCATCGTCGCCGCGGAGCGCGCGACCTTCGCCGCCGGCGGCGCGGCCGAGGAGAAGACGGAGGAGAGCGGCGGCGACGAAAACGCGCCGGCGTCTCGCACACTCGACGACGCGGAGTCCGCGTTCCTCGCGCGGTGGATGGTGCGCACGTTGGACGACCGCCTCGAGTCCGTCGTGCCCACGGACCGCCTGTCGTCGTCGCCGGCGGTCCTCGCGGACGCGGAGTCCGGCGCCATGCGGCGCATGATGGCCCTCGTCGCTCAGCAGTCGACGGGCGAGGCGCTCCCGCCGCTGCCGAAGCAGAAGCTCGAGGTCAACCCGAAGCACCCCGTCGTCCTCGCGCTCCACGACGCCGCGAAGCGGTCCTCCGACGACGCGACGGCGCTCCACGCGGCGCACCAGCTCCTCGACACGGCCATCGTCGCCGCGGGCTTGATGGACGACGCGCGGACCATGATCCCGCGCCTCAACAAGCTCCTCGAGCTCGCGCTGCTCAAGCAGGATAAGTAACGCGTCGAGGGGACTTGGGTTTTTTTTTCGGGCAGCGATTCACGCACACGGAAACGTCCGGCAAGGTGCACTGCTCTGAATTTGGTTGCACCCTTGCAGGCATGGGTTGCAAGATTCTCGCGACGCTCGCGTGCGCGTTCGCCACCGCGGCGGCCTTCCAGCGTCCCAGCGGTCGCCGCGCCGCGGCGCTCACGCGGACGCACTTCCTGTCGCCGGAGATGAGCGGCGCCATCGCCAAGTTCACGGACGGGGAGAACTACGAGGCCATCGTCAGCGAGACCATGCGCAAGGAGGACTGCAGCCGGAAGGAGGCCGAGGACCGCTACAACCAGTTCCTCTTCGACCCCGACGGCTACAGCATCCTCAAGATGAACGAGCAGCTCCGCGACGAGGGCTACGCGACGTTCGAGGAGAAGTTCGTCGCCGAGAACGGCCAAGAGGCGTGGGACAAGCGGCAGGCCGACGCCGCGGCGGCGAAGGAGGCGCGAGGGAACAACTCGCTCATCATCGTGGGCGTCCTGTTCACGGCCTTCGCGGTGGCGCAGAACGCGGGCGTCGTCTAGGCGCGCGCGCGCGCTAAGAACGTCGGCGCGTCGTACGGAGCCGGTCGAACGCGACCGCGCGGGCTACGAGCCGGCGGCACACGCCCGAGCATGCTACGACCACGGCCGATGGATTACAACCCGCAGTACGTGAGGTAGAGCTGGAACAGGAAGGACAGGGGCACGGCGGCGGCGGCGTAGATGACGAGGAGCGCCTTCGCCTGCTTCGCCGCGAGCCGCGGCGCGTCGCGGAGCTGGTACATGACGACCGTGTTCTGCGCCGGCGGCATGGCGAACTGCGTCAAGAGGAAGAACCAGAGCAGCGGCCGCGCCTTCGCCGACGGGAAGAGGCCGACGGCCTCGAGGCCCGCGAGCGACGCGAAGCCGAGCGCCGGGATGACGGCGTATTTCAGGAGGCAGATGAGCGCGACGCGCCGCGGGAAGCCCGCGTCGGCGTCCTCCGCCGCGGGCCCGCCGGAGATCAGCGAGCCCGCGAGGACGAGCGACGCGGACGGCAGGTACGCGCCCGCGAAGCGCTCGAGCGCGCGGAACACCGTCGCCAGCGGCGCGCCGTCGCCGACGAGCAAGGTCGCGAGGGGCGTCGCCGCGACGCCCAGGGCCACGAGCGACGCGAGCACCGGCGGCGGCCGCGCGACGCGCGCGACGGCCTCGGCGAGCGACCGCTTCCCGCCGGCCGCGTCGCCGCCGTCGAGGATGCGGTTGCCGAGGGACCAGTACAAGGGCGTGAACCCCATGAGGTAGAACGACGTCGACGCGACGAGGCGCGGGTAGAGCGCCGGGTCCGCGTGGTTCCTGAACAGCGCGTCGAAGAAGAGCAGCGGCAGCACGCCCGGGTTGTTGAACGTGCCGGACAGGAGGAGCTGCTTCGCGCCGTCCTCGTCCGTCGGGTCGACGGCGACGGACGCGACGAGCCGCGACGCGACGTGCGCGACGACGATCTGCGCCGCGGCGAAGACGGGCATGAGCAAGAGCGTCGGTTCCAGGCCGTAGGTCGTCACGGTCTTGACGACGGAGCAGAAGAGGAAGCACGGCAGGAAGAGGTTGTAGATGACGCGCGCGAGCGCCGTGATCTGGTCCGGCGTGACGACGCCTTTTTTGACCGTGAGCGCGCCCACGGCCGTCGTGACGACGAGTTGGCCGACGGCGCCGACGGCCGCGCGGAACACGACCGAGCCCGCGGCCGGCGCCGCGGCGCCGGCGCGCAGCCGGCAGAGCGACCGCTGCCGATTGGTCACGGAGCGCCGCTGCATGGGCGGCGCCAAGCGCGGCCGCGCGGGCTGGAACGCCGCGCTCGACGCGAGCACGGCAGCGGCGACGACGAACCGCGCCATGGTACCGCGGTGTCTCGCTATCCGGTGGAAGCCAGGCGGCGAGAAGCGCCGTCCAGCTGCGTCTTGATTGTCGGATGGTCGTCCGATCCGCAGCTATGCCCTCGCGTTGACGGAGCTCATGCTCCGACGGAGTGCTCCACTTGTAGGTTGAACTCAACGTTGCAGCTCTAAATCTTTCGAGGCCACTTCGTCCGTGATGGCCGCCCAAGCGCTCGAGCCTTGGTGCATCTGGCCCGGGGGGCACGGGCAGAGCGACGGCCGGGAGCCGGCGCCGGACGCCTCGGGCCTCCAGACCTCCCCCTGCCTCTGCTTCCCGATCGACCCGGCGCACGCGCTCCTCGGCGGCGCGCACCAGTGCCTGGGCCAGCCCGCGACGTTCGACCTCGGCTACGTGGGGCTCGAGCAGGCCCGGGTCTTGCGCGCGCAGCGCAACCGCAACCGCATGCTTGAGTGCCAGCTCGCCGCCGAGGACACGCTCGACGCGCTCCACAACCTCGCGAGCCAGCACTTCGTGCGGAGCTTGCCGCTCTTGATGTTCCAGCAGCAGATGGGCTACGGCATGTACCAGAACCTGCCGCCGGCGCCGGGGCCCGCGCCGGCGCCGGCGCCGGCCGCGGCGGCGCCGGGGCCCGCGCCGGCGAGCCGCGTCACGACGAGCGACGAGGACTACGCCGCCGCGGTCCACGCGGCCGACGACGCGCGCGCGCTCGCGTCCGAGCCCGAGGTCGCCCAGAAGAAGGCCGCGTGCGAGCGCGCGGAAGCCAAGGCCGGCGAGGACTGCACGCTCCGGAAGCTGCAGGCCTTTCTCTGCGACGACTACGACGACCGCCAGCTCTCCCTCGCCGGCGGCCTCACCGCCGTCGTGCTCTTCGTGCTCTTCCAGATCTTCCTCCGGATCCAGCGCTGAGCACTCCGGCGAATCCTCCGCCTTCCCCCGGCCGGCCGCAGCGCGGCGCTCGCGCGCGTCTCGAGCCCTCCTCAAGTCCCTCCTCCGCGATTCCCGCCTTTCGTTGAAGTTTAAAACGAATTTTGTTGAACCTTTGTGGCAAAAAGATGGCCTCCATCACAGTCGCGCTGCTCTGGGCGGCGTCCGCCGCTGCCTTCGCGCCGCCGCCGATCCCGCGACACCGCGCCGCAGCCCTACGCGCGACACCCTGCGATGCGGCCATGTACGACACCTACGACGCGCTCGCCGAGCGCTGCGCCGCCCTCGTCGAAAACGCGTCGACCCCGGTCTGGGTCGGCATCGCCGGCGGTCCCGGCGCGGGCAAGTCCACGGTCGCCGCGGCCGTCGCGCAGCGCTGCGAGGCGCGGGGCGTCGCGGCCGTCGTGCTGCCCATGGACGGCTACCACTTCTCCAAGGCCGAGCTGCGGGCGCTCGACCCGCCCGACGCGGCGGCCTACCTGCCCCGGCGCGGCGCGCCCTGGACCTTCGACGCCGAGCGCTTCAGTCGGGACGTTTCGGCGGCGCGCGCGACGAACGCGGCGACGTGGCCCACGTACTCGCGCGAGCTCAGCGACCCCGTGGCCAGGCGGCGCCGAGCTCGAGCCGAGGCACGCGCTCGTGCTCTGCGAGGGCAACTACCTGCTGCTGGGCGGGCTGGAGGGCTCGGACGACCCAGCTGTCGCCGCCGAGGCGTCGCGCTGGCGGCCCGTCTTCGGCGCCTTCGACGAGACGTGGTTCGTGGCTCCCGAGAACGGCGTCGCCGCGCAGCGCGCGCGCCTCGTGCGGCGCCACCTCGAGACGTGGACCGACGAGAAGACGGCGGCGTGGGGCGCGGCGACGGCGCTCGAGGGCGCCGAGAAGCGCACGGACGCGAACGACGTCCCCAACGCGGAGCTCATCGACGCGTGCCGCCCCTTCGCGGACCTCGCGGTGGTCTCCCTCGACGCGCCGCCGTAATTTTCCTGCGGCGCGCACGCGTTGCTTGAGAGGCGTTTGGATCACCGTCCGAGTTCCGATGCGCGGCCGACAGCGGCGGCGAGCGCGGCGGCGAGCGCTCGAGCTCTCTCGCGTCGAGATCGTCGAGCGCTCTCCTCACCAATTTTGCCAGCACTCCGTCTCGCGCTGCGGCCGCGGGCGACCGCGAGATCGCGCCTTCCGCGCTCCGCGGACCGCAGCTCGACGCGCTTAGAAAAGCCGCCATGGCCGACGACGGGCTCAGCGACCGCGAGCGGCGGAAGCTCCAGGCCATGATGGCGCGGGAGGCGCAGGCGCAGGCCAAGGCCGCGCGGCGCGGCGGCGGCGGCGCGCGGCCGCGGGCCGCCCCCGCGCCCGACACCGCCGCGAGCGCGGCGCCCCCCAACGCGAGAAAGGGCCGCGGCGGCGGCGGTCCGCGCGACGGCGTCGACCGGCGGAAGCTGTCCGCTGAGCGAAACGCCGCGGACCTGCACGCGCGCCTCGACGCCGCGAGCGCGGCGGACCTCGCCGTCCTGAACGCCGGCGACCCGGGCGTGGTCACGATCTTTAGCCTGGACGGGTACGCGGCCTACGCGCGGTGGAAGGACCGCGAGCTCGAGGCCATGGACGACCGCGTGAACGCAAACAGCCTCGACGCGCTCGAGGCGCGCGCGCGCGGCGACGCCATGAACCGCGCGGCGCGCCGCGAGGCCGCGAGCGCGCCGCCGGCGCCGCCGGCGGAGGCGCCGCGGCCGCGGAAGCGCGCGAAGCGGGCGCCGAAGCGGCGACAGGCGCCGCCGGAGGCGCCGCTCCCGGAGACGCCGCGGTCCAACGAGGCGACGGCGTCCTCGGGCGCGGACAGCGACGACTCCGACGACGTTCCCCTGACCCACCTCGCGCGGAGGACCGCCGTGGACCTCTAAGTTCTACATCGCGAGCGGGCCGTGGTGCCGCTCGTGCCACCGCGAGTACTCTTCCACCGCGCGACGAATGCCCTCGCTCGAGAGGTCGGGTCCGCCGCCCGTTCTCTCGGCGCCGATCGCCGCGAGGTCGACGGCGTCCTCGGCGACCTCCGCCTCGTGCACGAGCACGCGGCGGCAGAGCTGGAGGTTCGTCGCCACGGCGCGTCGGAACCGCAAAAACTCGTCGGGCTCGAAGAACTCGCCGGGCCCGTGGACCTTGAGCTTCTCCGCGGCCTCGAGGTGGGGGAGCCCGAGACCCGCCTGGTTGGACGTCAGGTAGGCCAGCCCGAGCTTGCAGCGCGCGTAGCTCTCGCCCTGCGCCGTCTCCGCGACGCGGAGCGCGGCCGTCGAGGACGCGATCGCGCCGCGGAAATCTCGTAAATCGATCTGCGCCGTCGTCGCCTCGCAGTAGGCCTGCACCATGAACTCGTTGCCCAGGCCGAGCTTGCCGTACATGGTCGCCTGTCTCATCGCCGCGGCGGCGTACGCCTCCATCTCCCCGAGGTTCCGGAACGCGGCCTTGGTAACGTCCATGACGACCTGCGCGACCTTGACCGCCCACGCGTCGCCGCGCCGCTCGGAGAAGAGCTCGGCCTTGGCCACGTAGCCGAGCGCCTCCCGGTACGCGCCCCGGGACTCGAGCGTGCACGCGTACAGCGCCATGCTCTCGAAGACGTGCGCTTCGACCTGGCGAAGCAAATGCGATGCGAAGTCCTCCTCCAGCCCCGGGTAGGTCCGCCGGAACGCGGCGATCTCGCGGAGTATGCGCTCAAGGTTCGCCTGCGCGAGCTCGAGGGCCGCGAGCGACCCGCGGTCCGCGTTCTGCATCGCCTCCAGGCGCCGGCAGTCCGCGAGGAGCTCGGCGCTCATCGTGTAGGTGACTTCCCGGACCGGCTCCGCGGGCTTCTTCTTCTTCTTCTTCTTCTTCTTCTTCTTCTTCTTCTTCTGCTGCAGCAGCGCGTCCACCTCGGAGGAGGAGATGGACTCACCGTCGTCGCTGAAGGACGCAGCAAAGGCCGCGTCCATCTCCTTCAAATCTTCCATCATCTTCTCGTGCTGCATCTCGAGGTATTCGGCCTCACCTTCCTCGAGATCACCACACACATTATCATCCGCCACCTCGCCGATCTCCGAGTCCTCCTCGCTGTCGAACGGGTTCGTTCGCCGTCTCGCCGCCTTGATCTCCTTCGAGTCCTCCTCGCTGAGGAAGTCAGCCATGGGATGATCGTCCAGCGCGGCGTCGAGCGGGATGCGCTCCATCCGCTTCAGCTCAGCCAGCCGCCCATTGCCACAGCCGTCAACTTTGCCCGGCCGCCAGGGAATCGCGGTCGAGCTGCGCGCGCGCAGTGGAGGGTGTGTCCGGCGGCTGAAGCGCTCGCGAACGCGCCACCGACCGGGGCCCGTCGCGCGCTTCGCACCATGTCGATCCGCGACAAGGAGAAGGTGGACCAGATGCCCTGGGCGAAGGAGCGCATCGCCGAGGCGCAGGCGGCGCTCGACGCGACGGGCAACCTCGAGGACCCCGCGGTCATCGAGGCGCTCCTCAACGTGGAGAAGAAGTGCCGCCTGTCGAACGACAGCATCGCGACGAAGCTCGTCGCGGCGACGATCCTCCAGATGTGCCGCGCGAAGCGGGCCTGGGCGACGCACATCGCGCGGACCCGCGCCCGTCCCGCCGCGCGCGCGCGCGCGCGCCGACTCGAAGACCCCCCGCAGGCGCACTGCACGCTCCTCGCGAAGCGGCGGTCCCAGTCCAAGGCGGCCATCGGCGGCATCGTCGCCGAGGGCCTGGCCGTGCTCGAGGCCGAGCCCGCGGAGATGACGGACCTCGCGGACCGCGAGGCGCTGCTCAAGGCGCTCTGCGAGATCACGGACGGCAAGATGTACTGCGAGGGCGAGCGGGCGAAGCTGACGCGCATGCTAAGCGCGCTGAAGGAGGCCGCGGGCGCCGTCGGCGAGGCGGCCGACATCCTCCAGGGCGTGAACGTCGAGACGTACGGGTCCCTGTCGAAGCGGGAGAAGGTGGACTACATCCTCGACCAGGTGCGCCTCATGCTGGCCAAGGGCGACCGCGTGCGCGCCTACATCCTGTCCAAGAAGGTCCAGCGGAAGACGCTCCTCGAGGACGATTTGCAGGACCTCAAGGTCCGCTTCTACAAGCTCATGGTCGAGTACCACGTCCTCGAGGACGAGCCCTTCGAGCTCGCCCAGGACTTCTTCGCCATCTTCTCCACGAAGTGCGTGCTCGACGACGAGGCCGCGTGGCGCGACGCGCTGTCGTCGACGGCCATCTTCCTCGCGCTGAGCGACCACGCGCCGGGCGTGTCCGACATGATGCACCGCGTGCTCGCCGACGCCGCCGCCGCGCCGAAGCTCGACGCGCTGCCGACGTCCAAGGCGCTGCTCGCGCTCTTCACGACGGACGAGATCATCGCCTACCCGATGCCGGACCACCAGGCCGCCGTCGAGGACCACCCGTGCCTGAAGACGGCGGGCGACGACGTCCACCTGCGCTGGAAGAAGACCCTCCACACGCGCGTCGTCCAGCACAACGTCCGCGTCGTCGCCAAGTACTACCGCCAGATCTCCGTCGCGCGCCTCGCGAACCTCCTCGGCCTCTCCGAGGACGAGGCCGAGCGCCACGTGTCCCACATGGTGTCGTCCAACGGCCTCTACTGCAAGATCGACCGCCCGGCGGGCATCGCCCAGTTCCACAAGCCCAAGCCCCCGGACGAGGTCCTCCAGGACTGGGCCGGCGACATCTCCAAGATGCTCAACCTCGTCGAGATGACGTGCCACCTCATCAACAAGGAGTCCATGCTCCACAAGGACGTCCTCGGCCTCTAGGGGCGGGGGGCAGGGGAGTCTAAAGGGCGCTTTGGTCGCACGGCAACTTTGAGGCATCGTGAAGCATGCTCAGGCTCCTCTCAAGCTCTTGATCGAGAGCGCACCGATGCTCAAGCACTACCACCAAAGCATGATCGTCGCCTTCCTCCTTGCCTTGGCCGCCCTGGCCGACGCGCAGGAGTGCTCGGAGAAAACTGCCATCGATGGCCGCGAGTACGCGCAGTGGATCGTCAGCGGCGGCGCCAAGCAGCTCCTCACGGGCGGCGGCCAGCGTCCTGCGGCTGTGGCGGTTTTCGAGAGATTTCGGAATGGAAAACTTTGAATATTTGTTACCGACGTGCTCGGTAGGCGGCGGCACGCGCTACAAGTACGGCGTGGCCAAGGTCTACGCGGTGGGATTGTACGTCGACGAGGCCTCCGTGGCCGGCGCGCTCAAGGCCTACGCCGACGTCGACGGCAAGGCCCTCGCCAAGGACGCGTCGTTCTACGCCGCGGTGGCGAAGGTTCCCGTCACCCTGCTCCTCAACTTCCACCGCTCCGTCGACGGCGCGACGATCGCGGGCGCGTTGAAGGACAGCCTCGCGAAGAAGCTCGACGCGGCGACGCTGGCGAGCTTCGAGGCGAGCCTGACCGGGGTGCTGAAGGACGGCGTCAAGCCCGACACGAAGCTCTACTTCGCGTGCGGCGGCGGCGACCTCGGCATCGGCCTCGGCGCGCCGGACGTCCAGGCGACGGCGCCCGGCGCCGCCTGCGGCGCGCTCATGGACGTCTACTACGGCGCGTCGCCCGTCTCCGCGCAGGCCAAGGAGGGCATGGCCCTCGGCTTCGCGAAGCTGTAGGCTCGAGGGCCGCGGTAACCATGAAGTTTATCCGGGGAGACCTCGGGGGCGACGTCGTCCTGGCGCGGCCGCTCGCGCGACTCCACGCGCGACAGCGCGACAGCGCTGCGTGCCGTGCGAACATAAGAATCAGAGCGACCTTGGTGAGAGAGCATTGAAGTACACCTTGAAGTCTCCTTGCGGGCAAAAGACCTCAAAAGGCGTCTCAAAGAGGCAAAGAGGCGTCAAAAGTCGCCAAACATTGGCCGTGGCAAAACCTTTGAGCCCGCATATCCGCACGGGTGTCGCGCGCGAGAAACGCGCGCCTCACGACGCCCAGCGGCTCCCCCCTCCTATCGACGCCCGTCTCTCGGCGCAGATCGCATCAAGGGGGGCTTGATCGCACATGGCCGTGACCCAAGAGCAGGTCGACCCTGGGGACTACTGGGCCGAGGCCTGGATGGACGCCGTCGTCGCCGGCGAGCCCTGGTGGCTCCGCGCGTCCATGAAGTGCAAGCTCTGGTGGGAGCAGGTCGAGGCCTTCCTCGCCTGGTTCATGGTCAAGCACGGCGCGCCGGCGGCGCGCGAACTTGGTGCCGCTGTGCAAGGCCTCCTCAAGGCCGTCGACGACGCGTCCGCGCCCCTCGCCGATCGCCTCGAGGCCGGCGCGGGCGGCCGCTTCTGCCTCGCGGCGCTCGCCTTCTGGTGCGTCGCGCCGACGGCGCGCTACCGCGCGAACGAGACCGAGGCGTTGGCGCTCGTGCTCTGGCTCTGGGCGCGGCGCGGCGCGGCCGTCGACGCGGGCCTGGCCAGGGCCGCCCTCGCCGAGGCGCGCGCGCTCCGCCGCATCGCGGACCTCGCCTTCGACGGCGTCGCCGGCGACAAGAAGACGCGCGCGCTCCGCCTCGTGTCCCACGCGGCCAAAGACCTCAACGCGTCGCTGCTCGTCGGCGCGGCGCCGGGCCCGCTGCCGCTCCGGGGCCTCCACGCCTACGTGGGCCACGTCGCGGAGGCCGGCGCGATCCTCGCCGCCGCCGAGTCCGCGGAGGCCGCCGCGGCCGAGCGCGAGGCGCTGCTCCTCGACTCGTTAGCGCCGCCGCGCCGCGTCGCGCTCGTCGCCGCGCTCGTCGCGGCGACGCTGGTGGTGGACGTGGTGGGGTCCTATCCGAAGCTTGCGGCGGTGCTCGCCGCGGCCCTCGCGATCGTCGCCGACGCGCTCCACGGCCCGGGGCCCGCGAGGGACCGCGCGGCCCGCGAGAACGGCCTCCTCGTCGACGACCTCGACGGCTACCTCCGCGCCCACTAAGATTGTCGCCCTGTGTCGCCCTCTCTCGCATGAGGCGAGTTACCTCGCGGGACCACTAGCCGCTGTGGAGTTTGCACTTGGAGTACGCGCTGGTGTCGCCGCCCGCGAGGAAGGGACTGCCGCAGACGAGCTCGATCCTCTCCCTAGCCAGACGGAGACCTCCGACGCCTCGTCTGAGCCGTAGGTTTAGTCGAGGTTGAGCCCTTTCGACGCCAGGCGGCGAGGCGTGCGGCGCTCGGCGCCGGGCACGTTCTCAGGTGCAACCAAAGTTGTCGCCGGTTTGCAAGTGGGCCAACCGGATCGCGCAGCTGCGGCCAGAACCGACGCGCGCACGCCTCCTTTATGAGCTCGCCGCTCTCGCCGGTCATGGCCCAGGTGCACAACCCGCAGGGCTCGCCCTCCCAGGGCTCCCTTCAGCGCCGCCTCACGAACGGGTCGGCCAGGGAGCGAATCAGACGCATCAACTCCAAGGAGGCCAAGATCCACGTCCTCAACATGACCGCGCGGGACGACGCGGCGGCGGACTTTACGAAGTCCGCTTACGAGTCGCCGCTGCTCTCGAACCGCATCCTCGACCCGAAGCCCGCCCACGGCAACGCGTTCGCGCGAGAGGAGGCCCGCCGCGCCGAGAAGCCCGTGCAGGCCCCGGGCGCGGGCGACGCCTGCGCGCTCATGTGACGCGACGACTCCCCGATGAACCCCACACCCTCGACTCGCTCTCGCATCGTCTGCTCGGCGGAGGCATTCCCGAACCCGTCGCCTCGCCGAGCCGTCGATCTCGAGAACGCGAGTGCGGCATATTTCCACTAAATATCCCCTCTGATCCTCCTCGGGCGCGAGCATGTTCGCGCGCGTCGCTGTGGGTGCCGCTTCTAAAAATTGGGCTCTTACGGAGTCCTCGGGACCCCCGAGAGGCGCTCCCGGCGTCGGGCGTCCTCGCGCGGGCCGGATCTCACGCGGCGGCAGACTCGCCGGTCCCGCTCCCGGCGTCCGCGCGAGCGTTCCCACGCGGATCGGACCTCACGCGTTTTTCTCGCCGGAGAACCCGAAACCTTCGAGCGCGCCATCGCCGGAGAGCCGCGACCCCCGGAGCCGCGCGCCCGAGCGCCTCGAACCGCGGAGCGCGGCGTCGGCGCCGAGCTCGTTGGTGTTTACGTAGTACGCGCCGTGGTCGATAACGATGATGACCGCCCACATGACCACCAGGAAGAAGATCATCCAGTAAAACACCTTGTTCGACATGCGCATTTGGCGCAGGTCGTCGTCCCTGATCGGGAGGCCCGGTGTCTCGTCGCTCAGGCCGAGCCGCCGTTTCGAGAGCATTGTTTGCGACGCGTTCGTGCGAGATCGCGCGACGCGTCGACTCGGAAGGCCTCTGAACTGATCAAAAACTGCCACACTCCTGCCACAAGCAACCTCTCATCGCCCGCACTCGACGCGCCGCGCAGCGCTGCGCGGCTGCAACTCAAGGCCTTTTCCGTGCTCTCCAGACTCGTCTAGCAGCGCTGCGTCGGCGCCGTGCAACGCGCCACGCTTTCCAGCGCGCGCGGAGCCGCAGCAGCTCGCATCAGCTCGCAGCGGCTCGCAGCAGCCCGCCGCAGCTCGCCGCAGCTCGCACCAGCTCGAGAGACCGCGCCGCGCAAACCGCAGCACCCATGGCCGAGATTTTGACCTCGGACAAGACCGACGGCGAGGAGGAGTACGAGGTCGAGACGGCCGTCAAGGCCTGGGTCGACGCGCGGGTCGACGCCGAGGTCGCGCGCGCCGAGGGCCTCGGCCAGCGGACGATCAAGCTCACGGTCAAGAACTGCGGGCTCGTCTTCCGCGACGGCGCCGTCGAGAACAGGGTCGAGGTCGACACGGGCTTCAACTTCGATACGGTGGAGCAGATCATGCTGTCGCCGCCCGTCGACGTGCCCTGCAAGCGGGGCTACGCGCTCCGCTTCGTCATCCTGTCCAGCGGCAAGCCCATCGTGCTGCTGCTGCCCTACGTCTACGAGCTCGGCGTCGCGAAGCACACGCTCCAGCGCTGGGAGTTCGTCAACAAGGCGCTCGCGAGCTCGCACCACGTCGTCGACGCGGAGCTCACTTAAACACGCCTCGTTCATGAGAAACCGACTTAGACGTCGACGTTGATCTGCTCGGGCGCGGCGCGCCGCGGGCACTTGCAGGCCCGGCGGCAGAGGCCGCAGGGCACGAGGGCGCGCCGCGGCGGCGCCGGCGCCGGGCCCTCGACGGCGAGCACGTTCGCGAGCTTGAGGCAGTCGAGGGCCACGGGCGCGTCGCGCGGGTGGCGCCGCTGGCGCGGCCGCAACAGGAAGCCCCGGTCGAGGCAGCAGCCCCCGAGCTCGGCGACGGCGAGGAGCTCGTCGACCATCGCGTGCGTGAGGGGCCGGGGCCCGAGCGTCGTCAGCGCGCGGCGCAATTCGTGGTCGTGGACGACCTTGGCCTCGTCGCCGTCGTCGCCGCCGGGCACCTGGTAGATGGTCCGCTCCGCCGCCTTGACCTCGGACTCGTCCGCGAGCGCGCTCAAAGCTTTCAGCGCCTCGAAGACGGGCCGCGCGTCGCGGAGCTCGTCGCGCCAGTCGACGCGCTTCGCGTCGCCGTCGCGCGGCGACGCGTCGGCGTCGGGCGCCGCGGCCTCCCTGGCCAGGAGGTGGGCGTAGGCGTCGGGCGTCGGGCGGTCGCGCGGCGGCTCGCCGCCGTCCGCGTCGGCCGCCGGCGGCGCCCACGGCGCCGTCCGCGTCGCGTCGACGCCGTCGTCGTCCCAGGGCGCCTCGTCGAGCATGGCCGCGCTCTTGCCGGCGTTGAGCTCGTCCTTGGCGCCCCGGTAGTGCGCCGGCGGCAGGCCCGACGCGCCGCGGCGCGTCGGCGGCAGGCCGGGCAGCGGCCGCGCCGCGCCGTCGTCGGGCGCGGGCGACTCGCGGCCCCGGCGCTGGCTGAACGTCAACGGGTGACGGTCCTCGTGGTCCTTCGTGTCGCGGAGCGGCGCGTTGAGCAGCTTGCGGCAGAGCGCGCGCGCGCGCGGGAGCGCCGCGGCGTCCGGCGCCTCGCAGAGCGAGTGGAGCCGCTCCAGATCCCGGCGCCAGACCGTCGTCGCCGGCAGGTCGAAGTCCGCGGGCGCGTAGCTATAGAGCGGCGGCAGGCGGTCCCGGTTCACGCGGACGTAGAACTCGCCGTGCGCGTCGACGCCGTCCGGGATCTCGCACTCGAGGTCGACGCCGGAGACGCGGATCGCGACGCGCATGCCCGCGGACCAGCCTGTGCCGAATTCAAATCTGCAACTCGACTTCAATGTGAGCGTACGCGACCGTTTCGACGCAACCTCTTCGGCCGTGCTTCGAGAACTCGACGAGAGCGATCGATTCGTCCAAAAATCAGCCGAATCGACGTCGATTTGACCGAGCGAGAGAATTCTGAAGTTTGGTCAGGACCACCCAAACCAGCGGTTGAATTCGGCACAGGGACCAGCCGCGCCTCATGACGACGCGGTGGCGCACGACGGCCTCGGACCCCGGCGCGGGCGGCTTCTTCTTCTCGGGCCGCTGCGAGCCCCGCGCGCGCGAGTGCTGCCGCGCAAAGCCGCCGCCCTGGGGCACGAGCTCGACCGTGCGCTGCGCGGGCGGCAGCGACGCGGGCCGGCCCAGCGGCGCCATGGACGGCGCCTTCTCCTCCGACGAGTCCGCGGCCGGCGGCGCGCCCGAAGACGGCGGCCGGTACCGCGCCCAGCCCGCGCCGGGCACCTCGGGCCACTCGTAGGCCGCCGGGTCCTCGGGGGCCGGCGGCGCGCCGCTCGGCGCCTCGAGCGCCGACCGGTCCTCGGCCGACGGGCCCGCCGTCGGCGACGCGCGGCCCGTGACGAAGCCGGCGAGCGACGCGGCGACGGACGACGGCGCGAGGGACGCGGCGACGTCGTCGGCGAGCGACGGCTTCGGCGGCGCCTCCTCGGCCGCCGCGGGCGGGTCCTCGACGCCCGCGACGTTCGCGTCCAAAAACCGCAGCAGCGAGCTCCGCTCCGGCGGCTCCGGCGGCGACAGGGCCTCGGCCTTCTGTTTGAGCGCCGACGTGCGCCGGCGGATCGTCGCCAGCGCGTCGTCGGACGCCGCGCGCGCGTTGACGGCGCGCGAGAAGACGCGCCACGCGTCCTGGACGACGTTCGCGGCCGCGTGCAGGCTCCCGAAGTGCGTGTTGTAGAGCACCTCGTTGCCGAGGAGCACGGGCACGCTCGGCCGGTCGTGGGCGCGGCAGTCCCTCGCGCGCTGCAGCGCGCCGGTCAGCGTCGCGTACTGCCGCGGGTTCCACGGCGTCGGCTGCGACCCCCCAAAGTACTCGAGCAGGAGCTGCTCCGAGTACTCGTGGCCCGGGAACAGGAGGCACTTGCCGCCGCAGCGGTGCCAGATGCGCCGGAAGTTCGCCGCGACGTCCCGGGCGTCGCCCTCGAAGGGCGCGCCGCAGCCGCCGCAGAAGAGCGTGTCGCCCGTGAAGAGGCCCTCGACGGTGCGCCGGTCCTCGCCCAATAACCCGAACATGACGTGGCCCTTCGTGTGGCAGGGCGACGGGATGACCTCGATATCTAGCGCCCGCCCCACGCGGAACCGCTGGCCCGGCTTGGCGAAGTGGCTGCAGCGGTCGACGAACTCGTGCTCGCCGCCGACGACGGCGATCGTGCCCGGCGCGGCCCATAAAATCTCCGGGTTCCGCGGCGTCGCGTCGGCCTCCAGGAGCGCCCGCGCGTCCCGCGTCGTCTCCCGCTCGGCCCGGAGCACGTCGCGCACGCCCGCCTGGTGGTCCCAGTGGTGGTGCGTGACCAACAAACCCGTGAGCACGACCGGCGGCGGGCCGCCCGGCTCGGACCGCGGCGACCCGTCGTAGTTCGACGCGTAGTGCTGCTCCCGGAGCTCCGTCAGCGCACCCAGCACGGCGCCCGCGTCGCCGGGGTCGACGACGACGCAGCGCAGGGGCCCCGACGGCCGCAGCTCCACGACGACGTACGCGTAGTTGTCGAGCAAGCCCGCGACGACGTGGACGCAGCTCCGGGGCGCCTCGTCGGCCGGCGGCGCTTTCCAGCGCGGGCTCCGCGCCTGCGACGCCCGCAGCTCGACGCGGATCGGCGCCGCGTGGCGCCGCCCGCCGAGGTAGTAGCGCCGCACGAAGAGCATGAACCACACGTGCGCGCGCCCGAACCGCGTGGGATAGATGTGGCGGACGACGGCGAGGAACCCGCGCCGCAGCAGCGGCGACGCGACGAGCATGAGGAGCCCGAAGCAGAGCTGGGCGACGCCCAGCGTCGACCCCATGACCAGCAGCGCCGCCAGCGCCACCCAGGCCGCCGGCAGGGCCAGCCAGGCCGTGCAGCAGTCGCGGAGCCGACCCATGGCGGGGCGGCGCGCCAGGCGACGGTAGCGGCCCCCGCTGCCCTCGATGAGCGGCGACTTGAGTGCGGGCTCCAGCTCAAGGCGGCGCGGGACGAGCGATGCGGTCGGCTAGAGCCGGGTGATCATAATTTACCACAGAGAGGAGGAAGATTGTGCCCTGCAAACCTCCTGCACCATCGGCAAGTTGCAGCGCCGATCATGATGAATCCCGTGGCGTCTTTTAACGCGGAGGTTTGAGGTTGAAGTCCAAGTTGAAGCGGCCTTTAACATATCCCGCCGGCGGGATATGTTACGGCCTCGCGCGGGGCGCGCGAGTGGCGCGCCGAGCTCGCGCGGCGGTGGTGAGCGGCGGGCGTGTTTTTTCGCGGACGGGCGCCGCGCTCGGGGCCGGCGGCGGCGACGGGGCCGCGGGCAGGGGGCCCCGGAAGAGAGAAGCAGGGGGGGCGCGGCGCTACTTCTTGAGCGTCGCGAGGTAGTCCGTGAGGCGGTCCGGGGGCACGAGGTCGCGCACCGTGAGGACCACGAACTCGGGCTTCGGCGCGTCCAGGTGCGCCTTGTCGACGCGCTGGTGGCCGATGGTGGCCTTGAACTCGCCCTGGGCGTCGATGATGTCCTCCGGCGGGCCCCGGGCGACGGTGACGATGTGGCCGTTGTCGAGCTCCTCGCCCGCGAAGCGCCAGTTGTCGAGCCGCTTGCCGTCGACGGCGACGGTCGCGTCGAAGGCGAGCTTCGGCCCCGGCCGCAGGTGGATGTCGAACTCCGCGCGGCCGAGGCCGAAGGCGAGGCCGTCGCCGCGCGCCTTCGTGAAGGCCTCCTTGCAGGACCAGAAGTAGCGGAACCGCTCGGCCATCGCCGCGGGCTCCGGCGTCCGGCGCACGTAGGCCCACTCCTTCTTCGACAGGATGTCGCGCATGGTCCCGAAGAACTTCTCGACGTCCTGCTCCGGCGCGCCGGAGCGGCGGAACTGGTCCGGCGCGGCGACGTCGACGCCGCAGACGCAGAACGGCTCGGACGCGATGACGACGTACTGGCCCTCGTGGGACACGTTGAAGTTGAAATTCGGCTTCGCCTCGGCGACATCCAGCGAGCTCAGGGACCGGGACCGCTGGGAGAGGTAGGGCTTGCGGCCCTTGGTCCGCGCGACGGTCACGTCCGCCTGCTTCAGTCCCAGCGCGAGCGCGGAGCAGCGCCGCGAGAGCAGCCGGCTCATGAGCGCGCGCACGCGGTCCTCCCAGCGCAGGTACTGGGTCACGCCCTTGCGCTCGCTCTCCTCGCCGATGAGCGCCAGGAGGAACTGGAACTCCGCGGACTTGTCCTGCTTCTTCGGATGCCACGCGGAGCTGTCGACGGCCCAGCGCGCCATGCCCGTCTCGACGACGGCGGCCTCCCAGGCCGCGGACGTGACCTGGCGCAGGCATTTTTTCGACGCCCAGCCGGCCACGGGCTTCACGAGGCGCACGCGCTCCGAGCCCGCGGCCGAGAGCGCCTCCTCCGCGCCGGAGCACCGCGTCCCCACGGCGAGCGTCGTCACCTGCGCGCGGATGCGGCGTCGTCGCGGGGGTCCCGCGGGGCGGGTCCGCGGGGCGGCGCGCGCGGCGCGGTCCCGGGACGGGAACGCGTCGCGCGCGTTCCCCGGACGCGGCGGCCGCGCCTCGACGGTCGTGAGCTCGACGCCCTCGCGCACGAGCATGCCCTTGCGCGCGGTCACCTCGTAGGTCTTGGGCTCCATGCCGTCGACGACGGACGTCGGGCTGTGCGGCGACGGATCCAGGCGGCCGTAGATGGAGTGCGCCGCGGCGTTCTGGAGGTTCAGGGGCAGCTCCTCCCGCGCGGCCGCCATCTCCGCCATGGCCCCCAACCCTCGAGTACCGGCTCGACGCGCCCCACGCGCCGAGGGCAGCCCACCGGTGCCAGAAACGCCCGGACCTTCTGTGGCGGCGGCGCGGCGACGTAACACGATGGATTGTAGACTGCCAAGGGGATCTTGAAGATCCCCTTGAGACTGCACTCGACAGATGGAGCATTGAGTACACTAGTTCACCATTGGCCACGCTGAAAAACCACTTCTCCCACCTCGCGTGTAGACGGCTCGCCGTGCGCGCGCGTTGCAACGCGACGCCCTCTCCAAAGCAGCGACGCTTCCGTCGCCGCTCCAATTATGCCTCCGAAGGTGCTGCTCATCTCGGGCTCGGACAGCGGCGGCGGCGCGGGCCTGCAGGCGGACGTCAAGGCCTGCGCGGCCCTGGGCTGCTACAGCGCCAACGCCGTCTCCGCGCTGACGGCGCAGAACACGGTCGGCGTCCACGGCGTCTTCGGCGTGCCGCCGGCCTTCGTCCTGGCGCAGATGGACGCCGTGCTCGACGACATCGCGCCCGACGCGGCGAAGACGGGCATGCTCGCGACCGTCGACGTCATCGAGGCCGTCGCCGGGCGCCTCGCCGCGGCCGTGGCGGCGGGCGGCCTGGCGAAGGGCGTCGTCGTGGACCCGGTCATGGCCGCGGCGTCGGGCGACGCCTTGGTCGAGCCCGACGCCGTCGCGGCGATTCGCGACGCGCTGCTGCCCGTCGCGACCGTCGCGACGCCGAACCGCTTCGAGGCGGGCATGCTCCTGGGCGAGGCGCCGCCGGCGTCCCTCGCCGCGGCGCGGGACGCGGCCGCGCGGCTGCGGACCGCGCGCGGCGCGCGCTGCGTGGTCCTCAAGGGCGCGCCGCTCGGCGCCGGCGAGGCGCTGGCGGGCGACGCCGCCTGGGTCGGCCCGCCGCGCGCGCCGGGCGCCGCCGTGCTCGTCGACGTGGTCTGCGGGGACTGGGGCACGCGCGAGCTCGCGTGCAATCGCGTGGACACGCGGAACACGCACGGCACGGGCTGCACCTACGCGTCGGCCATCGCCGCCCGGCTCGCGGCGGGGCTCGACACGCTCGACGCCATCGCGGCGGCGAAGGCGTACCTCGACGCCGCGCTCCGCGCGTCCGCGGACCTCCGCGTCGGCACCGGCACGTACGGCCCCATCAACCACGCGTTCGAGACGGCGAATTGGGCGTAATGTGGTTAGTTTTGGTTTGCTTTGTGGGCGAACGCGGTTCCTCGCGCTGGCTCTGGAGAAAGACCACGCACGCAGCTCGGCATCCCAGGCGCCATCTCGGCGCTCGTGTCGCCACTTGTGTCGCGTGAGTATTCAAATGAACTCGAGAAACCGCCGCTCGACTGCAGTTTCCTTGCACAGCGCTGCGTGTGGGGCCTAGCGGCTGAGCTATGAGGCGCATACTGGTAGTGGTCGGCCGGGGTCGGCGTCTTGACGTCGCCCAAAAACGGCCGTGGAAGATCGGCCAGCTCACGCGTTACCCCGGCCAGCTCTGAGGCGGTCACAACTTCCGCCGCCGCTCGTTGAAACCAAACTGATCGAGCTCGTTCCCGCCGACCGTTCGTCCAGTCTACCATGGCCGCCCTCGCCGACTCCACGCTCCACAACGTGACGAAGGACGTCGCCGCGTGCAAGCTGTCGCCGCAGCGCTCGGTACGT